TTGTTAGATTTTTTTTTTAATCTATTTAGATTTTTGTTTTAATAATTTTTTTTTTTAATAATTTTTTTTTTTTTTTTTTAATTTTTAAAATATAAATTTGTTAAAAATATGTAGCTAAAGCAGTAAAGTAAACGGGCCTCTGGACGACGCTATCTAGAGTAAGTTCCTAAATTTATGATATGATACTAAGTTTTATATTGTGTAGCATTAGTTTATTGAACGTCGGTAGCATCATTGTTTAACTGGTCCTGCTTTTGATTAGTGTTAAACTGGTCCTGCTATTGACCATTGTTTAATTGGTCCTGCTTTTGATCATTGTTTAATTGGTCCTGCTTTTGATCAACACGTTTAAATCAAGCAAGTAAACAAATTGAGCAACTCCTAACAACAAAGTTTTGCCTATAAATTCTTTATAAAATGTAATATCTAGCAATAAGGAGAGGGGGCTGACAATTTAAAAAAAAAAAAAACATACATAGGCCTACAAGTAAGTGACGCACTTTATAAGAATCCCCCATTCGTGCTCCCCACCCCTCTAACAGGCTCACAACCGTAAATTTTTTCACGCCCGTGAACTATATTAATCTTCTAATGACCAACCTGTTTTAACACACAGATTTAATTCCACAATTATTTTAGAAAAATAAAAGAAAATATTAGGCACCAAAAGAACTATATATTATATATTGGAATATTTTATATATTTTTTTACATTTATTTTTTGCAAGAGTCTCATTTAGCGAAGTTATCGGCAATTGTATTTCCATCATCTTCCCCTTGAAAAATAAAGAAAAAAAACCGATGGTTGGGGGTGCCGCTGAAAATGCGATAGAATGTGTTGTTCTCGGCAACTAGTCTATGTGCCAAGTTTCAGCTCGTTAGCTTGACGGGATATGGGCCGTCAATTAGCCGTACGAAGATTTTGCCAGCCAGTCAGTCAACCAGCCAGCCATCCACAATCAACCGCGATGTTACAATATAAAGGATTTTTTTTTTAAAGATGCTGAAATTTTCAGCATTTTGTTCTCTTCAAAAGCCTTATAAACAATTTCAATTTTTAGAGACATCCAAAGGTTTGAAAGATAGAAAGTCATTTTATGTCAAATTTTTACGGACTGTCGTAAATTTACAAATGGTTGCAAGCACCTACATGTCGAGAAATGGAAGTTTTTGCATTATATTTAACTTTACAATTATAGTACTTATAAACAACAAGGCCACAATGAAAGTAAGTGATCATTTTCAAGGTGTGGCATTTTGAGCAGCGGTCCCAAAACTTAGGCCTACAATGAAAAGTTAGACTTAAACTAAAAACTTAAGACAGCACAGAAAACTTAGGACTACACAGAAAACTTAGGACTACATAGAAAACTTAGCACGAGACAGAAAACTTAGGACAACACAGAAAACTTAGGACTACACAGACAAGTTATACCTACACTAAAAACTTAGGCGAATAATGAAAACTTAGGCTTCACTGAAAACCGACCCTCAATAAAATGATTTGCCTGAGACGTGGACTTTGTCGCCAATACAATTGTCACTCGGGATTACGAAATCATGGGAAACATTTCACAATCACCGGGGTCACTCAAGCTTCACGATCAAATGTGTCCACTGTCTGCATAAATCTAATCTTCACATTAGTTTGTCATTTGAATATTTCACAATCACCGGGGTCACTCAAGCTTGACGATCAAATGTGTCGGCTGTCTGCATTAATCTAATCTTCACATTAGTTTGTCATTTGAATAGTTCACAATACGTATTTCAGTAACGTCACGTGACCTCAACCAGAACATTGAGCTAGACACAACGTCCATACTCAGTCATGGTACGGTGAAATGAAGATATGTTTGTGAATGGTGTCACTATTTTCATCAAAATGTAATTGTCACTCTTAAAATAAATAACTTAAACTCTAATGAAAACATCCAAGAAATGTATTGTCAACCCTTTAACCCTTTGTCCGCCGCCGCAAAACATGTTATACCCTGTCCCTCGCGACTGGTTGTGGCACACCCGTACACTTACTATAGTGGGAAAAGTGTTTATGTCGATTCCTGGCACCTGGGTGGGTTACACCCATAGTTGGGTGGGTTACACCCATAGTTGGGTGGGTTACACCCATAGTTGGGTGGGTTACACCCATAGTTGGGTGGGTTACACCCATAGTTGGGTGGGTTACACCCATAGTTTGGGTGGGTTACACCCATAGTTGGGTGGGTTACACCCATAGTTGGGTGGGTTACACCCATAGTTGGGTGGGTTACACCCATAGTTGGGTGGGTTACACCCATAGTTGGGTGGGTTACACCCATAGTTTTTTATCACAGTAAATTGCTATCTTTATGTTCTTTTATTTTTTTACAATGTGGCATGATTTAGTTGCCCTGTAACCAAAATCACGTCACAGATTGCGTAGTATCTCCCCCACCCTCCAAGCATGTTTTATGTACATTAATTAAAAATGATACAAACAATAGTTGACTGCACCAACAGGGAATGCGAGAAAGTAAAAGAAAACAAATGCCAAGGGGCTGATGCGATCTAAATGTTAGCTTTTATTGGCTGCTCTTCACCTCAACAGCATTTCAGTGGAATTTTTCATTCAGCCCAGTTGATGGAAATCCTCCTTTTAGAGGATCACTTCCAATGAAGATATTCAGCAAACTTCTGATTCCTATTGGCTTTGACTAGATCAATCATTTCTGGCTTGTGACACCTTTGCTCCCATAAGAGATGTATGAGAAGCATTGCTGAGTAATTTGGCAAGGTAATTTTTATCTTGGAGAGAACATCACAGTAGGTGAGCAACTGGTTGGTTTCAGGGCTCGGTGCAGATTTATTCAATGCCAAGCAAACCCGACAAATATGGAATGAAAATCTTCTGGGCCTGTGAATCGTCTTCGAACTATACTCTTAGAGGCTGCCAGCAAAAATAAATGTTAGAATATCCCCAGAGACTCTGATTTCTCTCACAACGGACTTCCATGGAAGTGGCCGAAATTTTAGAACAGACTATTATTTCATTCCCCTACAACTTGCAGAACAAATGGTCCAGAACAGATTCACCCTAGTTGGAACAGTGAAACGGAACAAGATGCTCCTACCCAAAGGTGCTTATTTCATTAGTGGGGCAAGCAACTGCACCCACTGAGGTGCTTATTACATTATTGTGGCAAGCAACATCACCCATTGTGATACTTATTTCATTAGTGTGGCAAGCATCATCACCCTTTGTGGTGCTTATGTCTTTAGTGTGACAAGCATCATCACACACTGTGGTGCTTATTTCATTAGTGTAGCAAACAGATTTAAGTTATTTTGTTGTAATGTGTGTTCTATTTCTCGTATAATGCATGTGTAAACGTCCACATGGGCCTTACTTTACCAAGATGGCAAGAACTATTCAAAATTAGCTCATAAATGATGATATCAATTTCAAAAGAAAAAAAATCAATCAATCTCAGTGACATATTTAATGATCAGATGCTACCCTCTTCTCCCAGCACATGTTTTGGCATTCGTTTCCAAAACATACAGCTAAAACCCCAGAAATATTCTTTTTTTCCCTAAACACATGAGAGGTCTTTATCTTACATAGAAATGATTTTGTTAAAATTAAAAGGTTTTGAAAATCCATCAGTGGCGTAGGCATGGGGACGGCGAGCTGCCCCTGGCGTAGGCATGGGGACGGCGGTCTGCCCCTGGCGTGGGCATGGGGACGGCGAGCTGCCCCTGGGGTAGGCATGGGGACGGCGGTCTGCCCCTGGCGTGGGCGTGGGGACGGCGGTCTGGCCCTGGCGTGCCGTACCCCTGCCGCCAGACGGGGACCGGTGGGCATGGGGACGGCGAGCTGCCCCTGGGGTAGGCATGGGGACGGCGGTCTGCCCCTGGCGTGGGCATGGGGACGGCGGTCTGGCCCTGGCGTGGGCATGGGGACGGCGGTCTGCCCCTGGCGTGGGCATGGGGACGGCGGTCTGCCCCTGGCGTGGGCATGGGGACGGCGGTCTGCCCCTGGCGTGGGCATGGGGACGGCGGTCTGCCCCGAGCCGGGAATTTTTCTTTTTTTTTTTTGTGTTTGTTTGGTGTTTTTTTTGTTGTTTGTTTTGTGGAGCGCTATTTTCAGCCAACTGCTGAATTTTTTTCGTGGAAGTTGGGCGGCAAATTTTCTTGGCGCGCGCCTAGCTACGTCACTGAAGTGCCGATATAAAATATTCATTTATGAATGGGCCATGTTTGTGTGACCACATGTAAACAAGAACTTGTAAAACAATCCAATTCATTCAATAGTTTTATTTATGAATTTCAGAAACATTTTTTTAAAAAGTTGCGTTTAAAAAATACATCTTAAAAGATAGTATACGTATAATATGTATGTAAAATATCACAATGGAATATTTGAAGGAAATAATAACAAAATACATAATAAATCCTAACATTGGGTTATAGATGTCAAATGTTGAAATCAATTTTTTAACATCAAGTACTTACTATTTATCAAATTAAGCTTTTAAACAAAACAATTGCATTTTTATCTCTTACTAATCAAATTTGTTGTTTTATTGTAGCGTTGAATTCTTTTCAGTTAAACAATAAATTGTCATCACTGCTCCAATCAAATATAAATGTTAAACATTCTTTAAGCTTTATCATTGTAATTCTTCCCAAACTGCCCAGTAAGAAATGTCAAAATTCAGGTACAATTTTTTTCTGAAATCAATGTCACTGAATCGCTGCAGAGGTTCTCATACTACGTAGTGTACACTTTCAACATTGAAGATGAATGTTTGCCTCCAGTTGATGAACGATAACCTCAGTTTAAATACATTTTTAAGAAATTCAATACCTTTTAAAAATTTAAATAACATTTTTAGTATGGGAAGTAGAGATGCCACCATGCTATAACAAAAAAACAACAACTTCGTTTTAAAAAAAAAAATGTTTTAAACCAATATAAAAAGGAATCAGGCGTCTAAAGATATCAATAGAAGATTGTTGATCTCGGGCAATTCGATGTCAAGTTTAAAATCGAAATAGGCCCCATTTCATGTGCTGAGCAACGCATCCTTAAAAAATCTCACGACATAATAATCTCAGCAACTGATTACTACTGGTTCTTTTGAGTTTCAAATACAGCAAAGTCCTGAAAATAGAAAAATATGTGTCAAAAAGGCTTGTGTATATTAAATGGTAGATTTGAGTTTGTTTAGTGTTCGATTTTTGTTTGTTGAATGGTAGATTTTTTTTTTTTTAATTTTTGATTTGTGTTTATCAAAACGGAAAGTGCTTATGTTAAAAAAAGTTGTGTGTATATCAAACAAGAGATTTCTTTAATTAAACATTGGATTTGTTCTCATAAGCATAGATCTGATCTGTTGCTGCTGTAGTGTTGATAGTTTGGATTTGCTGAGATCTTCGTTGACTCGTCTAGGATCAACACCGCTCATGGGTGCTTTAATAAGGGTCTACCTACACAATTCATGGGTGCTTTAATAAGGGTCTACCTACACAACTCATGGGTGCTTTAACAGGGGTCTACCTACACAATTCATTTGGGTTTTAAAAGGGGTCTACCTTCACAATTCATGGGTGTCTTAAACGGTGTACCTACATAACTCATGTGTGCCTTAAACGGTGTGCCTACACAACTCATGGGTGCCTTAAACGGTGTACCTACGCAACTCATGTGTGCCTTACAGTTCATTGGCTTCATGTATAGACTTCAGTTTTTTTTAGTGAATTACAATATCACTGTCTTGTAACTAACCTTTAACCTCCTGAGTAATTAGTACTTGGTTTTACCAGGTTATTATCAAAGCATATCTGTGGTTAAACCAGATTTCCAATGAGGTTTTGTAGTGTATCATAACGTTAAGATGCTTTTGCATATTTCTATTTGGGATTTGTTTACAATTTAAAACCATTTTAATTATTATATTTATTTAAACGTGTACAATTAAATGACAATTATTAATAGCCCCAGTGAAAAATATGAGCACAACTTGCTGAGTTTGAACAAGATTGAATAAAGTGTAAATAAAGTGTTAATAGTGTAAATAAAGTGAAGTTATTTTAAGATGGTAAGATGGCAGTCCTACATTAGCTCATCACAGTCTACATAAAGATTACAATAACAAAGCACCAGTTGCCAACCCGGGGGTCACGGACCGCTTTAAGTCGGATCTCTGAGCTGAGTGAAGCCGTTGACTCGAAGGATTGACTCCTAACGTTTGACTCATTTCATAACACTTCCACTCCAAACATATTATCTATGCCTTTTTTAACAGTATTTCTTTTTATTCACCGGGGCCACTTTGCCGCTATAAAATGGGTTAGTGTCTAAAAAAACGTTTGGGAACGTCTGCGCTGCGTTGATTTGGTTGGTACTCACAATCTGAAAGACGCAAGCAAACATCAGAGCTTTATGAGCAACGTCAAGATTCATTGGAACTGGGGACAAATTAATTTTAACATAATTTTATTTTCATAGCAAAATATAAATTAATGACAGACTTATATATTTCCTAAGGATTATTTGTATTGCAGAAAATCTGTGTGTTCCAATCACACAATAAAGCCACTTATAAGGATTATGTTTAGTTATTGTGAAAAGTTATATACCGTACTGGTTTTCTGTTATTTCGAGGAAATGTACATTTTAAATTTTAATCAAAAGTTACACATAAAGCAAGGTGCTCTGAAATTGTTCAGCTATATAAATTAGCCCCGCCCCTAAAAAAATATATATTCACAAGTAAGACAGTATGTGTCTGCATCTGTCAAAAACTCTTTGAGAGTCCCTGACCAAGTTTTAGCAACATTTCCAACAACTTCATTATCTTTAACACTGCGAATCTGAAATAAGGAGAATTTTTTTAGCATTATGTGAAATAGATTCTACGTTAAATTAGATTTACAAATAAATATTCTTCAAAAGAAAACTAAAAGAAACAAACAAGGCCAGTAAGATTGTTGATACATCAACAGCAGATTTCTTACAGGGTTTTCTGTCTTCTCAGTAAGCCATAAAAATTAATTAATAAAGTTGTTTTCGCCCTTTCAGCGAACCCTTTCAGATCCTTTTGCCCCCACCATTTCTCCCATCATTTCTCCCGCCATTTTCCCCAGCACATCTCACTCCACTTCGCCTACAACATCTCCATATGATATGTCATTGAAGATTTCATGATATAGTATGAAGAGATGAGCTCGTCGAAAGTAACATCAAGCAAAGCCCACGCCATCATTTACCAAAAGAAATGTGAGTCAGCTGAAACACTTACAGGAAAGTCAATGTCGCCTCCACAGTTGCATGGACAACATGGGCTCCAGATTTCGTACAGCATCACCTCGTTTTCATCATAGACTCCAAAGTGAAGTTTGCAACATGAGTTCCTTGAACATAAATTATTCAGATGTATAAAATATGCACTTTTCAGTTACCACTATAATATATTACCTCATTTACCTCTCTCTGTTAATAAACTGTTAACAATAGACAATATACGACCACATGTGATTTAGTAAAGAAACAAATCACTCTTATCATAGTTATAAACTAAATAAACGCTTACATCATTCTTATCATAGTTATAAACTAAGTAAACACTTACATCACTCTTATCATAGTTATAAACTAAGTAAACGCTTACATCACTCTTATCATAGTTATAAACTAAGTAAACACTTACATCACTCTTATCATAGTTATAAACTAAGTAAACGCTTACATCACTCTTATCATAGTTATAAACTAAGTAAACGCTTACATCACTCTTATCATAGTTATAAACTAGGTAAACGCTTACATCATTCTTATCATAGTTATAAACTAAGTAAACGCTTACATCATTCTTATCATAGTTATAAACTAAATAAACGCTTGCATCATTCTTATCATAGTTATAAACTAAATAAACGCTTGCATCATTCTTATCATAGTTATAAACTAAATAAACGCTTACATCATTCTTATCATAGTTATAAACTAAATAAACGCTTGCATCATTCTTATCATAGTTATAAACTAAATAAACGCTTGCATCATTCTTATCATAGTTATAAACTAAATAAACGCTTGCATCATTCTTATCATAGTTATAAACTAAATAAACGCTTACATCATTCTGATCATGCCCAGCTTACGTCCAGCTTTATCTTTGACGTAGATAGGATACTTGCAGCAGCCATCAGCACACCAGCAACATCCCTTGCAGTTGAGAAAAGGTCGCTCTATTGTCATTACATCCTGGGGATGACAGTTGTATACAATTAAAGCCATAAGCCATTGTTATGACATTTAAATAATTCAGCATTGTTGAACTTACATTTTGGATTTAAAAGAGATATTTTTGGACACACGTTGATTTTGTTTCAAAATAATTTCCATCAGACCAGTGGCGCTGCTAGGATTAGTGCCAAGATTTGTGTCACCCTCATTTCCATGAAAAAAGCCGCCCCTCTATAAAAACAAAATAAAAGTGTTGCTAAGGGCCTCCCCCCCCCGAGCTCCTCCCTTTCCCTACGCCACTGTATCAGACAAAAAATCATTTACTATGTAAATAAATGATTTGATAAAATATTTGGCTAAATGGTCACCTTTGTGGTTTGCCAAATAAATAATGAGAATAAATTAACTCATTAATAGACTTCATAATATAGTACAACATGTCGATTTTATGATGTAGTACACCTTGTTTAATTTTTAAAATCAAGAGGTAAAATGGAAGTGCTTGATTATATAAAATTAAATTCAGATCTGTTTCAAACCGGTCTAAAATTTCCATTTATAATGTGCTGAGAACGATTATAGGAAACAAAAGAACTTAATCCACATTAAAGTAGCTGAAACAAACACTCCGACAGTACATCTCCATTATCTGTCACATGACACACAATCCCTGGCAGTGCCTGACGGTTTTTATCTGTCACATGACACACAATCCCTGGCAGTGCCTGACGGTTTTTATCTGTCACATGAGTCACAAAACCGAACAGTACCTGTTATTTGTCACATGAAGAACAATCCCTGACAGTGCCTGACGTGTGTTAACTGTCACATGAAACTACAGTCCCTGACAGTACCTGTTGGTTGTTATCTGTCACAAGAGTCACAAAACCTTACATTACCTGTTGGTTGTTATCTGACACAAGAGTCACAAAACCTTACATTACCTGTTGGTTATTATCTGACACAAGAGTCACAAAATCTTCCATTACCTGTTGGTTGTTATCTGACACAAGAGTCACAAAACCTTACATTACCTGTTGGTTGTTATCTGACACAAGAGTCACAAAATCTTCCATTACATGTTGGTTGTTATCTGACACAAGAGTCACAAAACCTTACATTACCTGGTGTTGTTATCTGTCACAAACTTACAGTATCTGTTGGTTGTTATCTGTCACAAAAGTAACAAAACCTTAAAGTACCTGTTGGTTGTTATCTGTCACATGGAACACGAAGCCTCTTTGTGGCCCAGCCCATATTCTGTTACACGTGTCAGATTCTGATGGTATAGGAAGATTGTTAAGTGACTTTGGGACGACATACTACATGACACACCATCTTATAAGATATTGTATGTTAATATGAATAATGTACCAGTGGGGTGACGCCTTGCACAAACCATCTGAAGAGGAGTAAAAATGTAAAGGCCCCCCCCCCCCCACCTCTAACTTAACCATCGATCAGAACAACGGCTATGCTACGGAGATCAAAATTGAATGATGAGCATTAAATATGACATCTTTCCTCCTCGCCCTATTTAAAATATTCTGGGATCCTTCCTACTTATTATTGAATATCTTGCTTATCCTCGCCGGTCTGTGGTCGGTCCAACCTGTCCCGTGGTTTATGCGACCAGTCGTCTGATCTGTCCTACATGTTCTATCGATCCTACCAATTCTACGGTCTGTCCTACATGTTCTGTCGATCCTACCAATTCTACGGTCTGTCCTACATGTTCTGTCGATCCTACCAATTCTACGGTCTGTCCTACATATTCATTCGATCCTACCAATTCTACGGTCTGTCCTACATGTTCTGTCGACCCTACCAATTCTACGGTCTGTCCTACATGTTCTGTCGACCCTACCAATTCTACGGTCTGTCCTACATGTTCTATCGACCCTACCAATTCTACGGTCTGTCCTACATGTTCTGTCGACCCTACCAATTCTACGGTCTGTCCTACATGTTCTATCGACCCTACCAATTCTACGGTCTGTCCTACATGTTCTGTCGACCCTACCAATTTTACGGTCTGTCCTACATGTTCTGTCGACCCTTCCAATTCTACGGTCTGTCCTACATGTTCTGTCGACCCTACCAATTCTACTGTCTGTCCTACATGTTCTATCCACCCTACCAATTCTACGGTCTGTCCTACATGTTCTATCGACCCTACCAATTCTACGGTCTGTCCTACATGTTCTGTCGATCCTACCAATTCTACGGTCTATCCTACATGTTCCTACCACTTTAGATTAAAATGTGTATCTTGCCTATTCCAAATCTCCTAATCAGCATGTAGTTTTGATGTGCCGTACAAATCCTACTGTGCATCACCGTATTGAATGGTACAAAAGTCTTGACTTGTGAATGACTTGAAAAGTACACTAAATAACGCTTTAATGAACTATAAAACCGACTCGATTGATGCACCACAACACCAACTGACCTTCCAGTACCCAATAGGCTTGTTGGTTGAGGCTGTTAAAGACTCTGTACTTATTTTTCACTTCAAATCCAGTGAGTGCTGAAAAAGAGAGGGGATTTTTAAAAAAAATAATAATTAAAAAAAAAAAAAAATATGGTCTCATAAATGGAGTTGTGTTCTGTTGTTACTGGTGGATGACTCCATTAAACAAGACGCGTCAGTTGCGTCAGTGTGCAATTACCTTCAAAGATGCTTACTTCCTGCTTAAAGATCAACTGATCCACTGCAGCGATATACTCCAGGCCTGGGGGGCAGTTCGAAATACCGACTGGGAGGGGCATCAGTAGAACTGGTAAGCAAAAATGTAAGAATTTAAAATAACATAAAACTTGTTTATGATTCGTCCCCTCTTCTTCTGGCAAACTGTACAGACATGATTCAGTAAGCCAATCATTTTATACGCAAGATTTTATAAACTGACTGCAGATTTATGAATGGGGTTGGCTCGAAATTAGGGCGATGGCCTATTATTAAGTTAAGGTACATTTTTTCTGAATAATAAATGTTGTGTTTGATAGCAAAGTAAAACAGTATCTGGAAATTTGATCGAAAGAAATTTCCTCGACGGTAAATTGAACGACGGTAATTTGATACAATTTTTTTTCTTCAGTTTTTACGTTAAAATTGTGTTTCAAATTTCTTTTTGAGCGCATTATTTTGTTTGACAACATAGAAGAGTGCGTTCAAAGAGAAATTGGACGAAAATTGTAACGCGTGAACTGAAATAAAGATTGGAAAAAAAAAGTTCCGTCCGATCAAATTTCCGTCGATCAATTTACCGTCGATGAAATTTCTTTCGATCAAATTTCCGGTTTACCGAGTAAAACATCATTGCCACCAACATATATCAAGTTAGAAAAAAATACTCACTCTTGGATTTAACAAAATGCACTTATTAATTAATCATACAAGTATAAAACGATTTTAATTAACTTTCTATGAATCGCATTGTTGACTAATGTTAACGTCATGTTCATCTTGAATCGCCTTAGCATTAACTTAGATGAAAGTGATTTGTCTACACCAGCGGTCGGCAAGCCCATTAGTCAAAAGAGCCAAAAAATCAGCAGTAGGACTATTTTTCTTTTTTTAAATTGAGATCCGAATTTCTTTTCGAGAATCTGTAAAGAACAATGTTTTTTCAGAGTCGAACCCGATTTGTGGCCGAATGGCCTGCTGGCCGAGCTGCACTCAGGTCGCTAAAGAGCAGCATGCGGTTCGCGAAATAAAAATGTTATGCGTATGTTATAAAAGCGATACATTCTGAATTTGTATTCACATAACAATATAAACTTGGTGTTTCATCACATGAACTTTATATTTAATCATATTGACTTGGTGTTTGATCTTATGAACGCGATCATGACTCACAATGAAAGTATCGTTCGTTTTTGTTTTTTTTTACAGAAAAGTGTCAGTGTTATCAAAGATGGAAAAGTCTCAGTTTGCAAGTAGAGTGGAAAATTCTCCCTTTTAACTTACCTTGGTCTCCATTAGGTTGTTCTGTAACCGCCTTTTTCCCCATGTTTAATTGATGCGATGTCTGATTGTGGTCGGTGGTTTTATTGAATTAATATAACTGTAAAAAAAAAAAAATAATAACGTCAAGAGCTTTAATGAGTATTCTTGATTTAGTCTTCTAATAAGTTCATCAATTTGGATGTCATGAAGAAATGTGAGACTCATTGACAGGGGCGTAGCTAAGGGGGCGGGGGCAGGGGGACAGATGTCCCAGCAACAGCCTAGTCAGGGGCGCTAAAATGTCCTTTGATATTATTTTATTGATGAAAATAATGAGTTTGAGAGTTGAAAAAAGAAAGGGAGGCTCGTTAAAATGAATCTTGTCCCCGGGCGCCAAACATTCTAGCTACGCCTCTGCTCATTTATGAGCAATGAACACCCAGAAATAGTTTTTAGCGTCCTTGAATGATTACAGCTAATGGGACTTATGGGACTACAGTAATGTTTGTGTTGAAATGACCAACAGAAAACAAAAACAATCAGAGAGAAGTACTTCAACCAAGCTCAGTTACACGTTCTCTAAGGCCAGCTTTTTGGCTCGGAGAGCTTTTTGGCCACTTTCTCCCGACTCAGACTGAGTCAATTAAAACTACAACATGGTGTCACCGTAATCTTACTTCCGCCAGGGCCATGATGCAAGTCTAGAAGATAAGGGTCAAAATGTGACCTAGTTTTTTTAAAGGATCCATGGAGTTCCTCTTTTTGTGTTCCTCCTGCGGGTTAGAGGCCCAGTGCACTGCATTAAAATATGTTCCTCTCATACTGTCTCTGCCCTGCAGTTTCTCTCATACTGTCAGTGCTCTCCAGTTTCTCTCATACTTTCAGTGACATCCAGTGTCTCTCATACTGTCAGTGCCTTCCAGTTTCTCTCATACTTTCAGTGCCATCCAGTTTCACTCATACTGTCAGTGCCATCCAGTTTCTCTCATACTTTCACTGCCGTCCAGTTTCTCTCATACTGTTAGTGCCGTCCAGTTTCTCTTATACTATCAAGGCCGTCTAGTTTCTCTCATACTGTCAGTGACATCCAGTTTCTCTCATACTGTCAGTGCCATCCAGTTTCTCTTATACTATCAAGGCCGTCCAATTTCTCTCATACTGTTAGTGCCGTCCAGTTTCTCTCATACTGTAAATGCTGTCCAGTTTCTCTCAAACTGTCAGTGCCATCCAGTTTCTCTCATACTGTCCGTGCCATCCTGTTCCTCTCATATTGTTAGTCCACCCAGTTTCTCTCATACTGTCAGTGCCATCCAGTTTCTCTCATACTGTCCGTGCCATCCTGTTCCTCTCATACTGTCAGTCCACCCAGTTTCTCTCATACTGTCAGTGACATAAAGTTCCTCTCATACTGTCAGTCCACCCAGTCCACTGTCAGAGGCTGTGTGTCGACTCATACTGTCAGTGCCATCCAGTCTCTCTCATACTGTCAGTCCACCCAGTTTCTCTCATACTGTCAGTGCTCTCCAGTTTCTCTCATACTGTCAATGCCATCCAGTTTCTCTCATACTGTCAGTGCCATCCAGTTTCTCTCATACTGTCAATGCCATCCAGTCTCTCTCATACTGTCAGTGCCATCCAGTTTCTCTCATACTGTCAGTGCCATCCAGTTTCTCTCATACTGTCAATGCCATCCAGTTTCTCTCATACTGTCAATGCCATCCAGTTTCTCTCATACTGTCAGTGACATAAAGTTCCTCTCAAACTGTCAGGCCACCCAACCCACTGTCAGAGGCTGTGTGTCGACTCTACCAATATCCCATCATGGATTAAGATGTCGTGTCATTAGTAAACTGTGACGCGAAACAACGCAGTCTTCCCCGAGCCGAATGTAAAATGGCCGCCACAGTTGACTGAGTTTCATGGTATCTACAATTCCTCCGGAAATTTAGAACTCAAATTAATGTTTTTAACATTAATTGAATAAAGATTTTTTTTTAATTAAATTTTTTTTAATTTTTTAGAAAATTAAAAAAAAAAAAAAATTAATCGCGACGTCACAAATTTCGTGACGCCCCCTGCCCATGTCACAGATTCTAGACCCCCCCCCTCCCCCTGAGCGTGACGTAATTTGCGAACGAGTCTAAATTTATTTTTTTTAAATTAATTTAATAAAAATTTTTTTTTAAATAAATTTTTTTTAATTTTTTAAAAAAATAAAAAAAAAAAAAAATTAATCGCGACGTCACAAATTTCGTGACGCCCCCTGCCCATGTCACAGATTCTAGACCCCCCCCCTCCCCCTGAGCGTGACGTAATTTGCGAACGAGTCCTTAGAGGTTTAAAGAAAAGTTTAAAATTAATCACGATGTAGCAGCCCGGAACAAATCGAGTTATTTTTAAGATGTGTAGGCGCAATAATTGGAATCTCACTGACACAAGATGAGGTACTTGTAAGATGTGTAGGCGTAATAATTAGAATCTCCCTTACACTAGATGAGGTATTTGTAACATGTGTAGGCGTAATAAATTGAATCTCACTGACACAAGATAAGGTATTTGAAACATGTGTAGGCATAATAAATTGAATCTCAATGACACAAGATGAGGTATTTGAAACATGTGTAGGCGTAATAAATTGAATCTCACTGTGTAGAACTAATAATTAGAACGTGACTGAAACAAGACACCTGCTCATGCATCACAACATCACACAAGAAAACCACACCTGTAGAACAACAGAACCAAACCTCACCTGCATAGCCAACATCAAGCAAGAAAAAATATAGCCCCAAATAATGCAAACAAACTTGTGTTATTCTTGGAAAAAAATTATTCCCTTGAAAGTTTGAAAAAAAATAATATTTAAAAATTAAGATTAAGTTTTACGAATAATGTTCATAGTTGAAAGGTTTACAATGTAAACTATACGAACGATTTCTTCAGCCTACACTCGTTTATTTTTTGGCATTGAAATGTGGTCAAATGAGAGAAAACCTGTTGACGATACTTTATTGAACTGTCATTGCCATTACGGCCTACGTGATACTTCAACTGCTGACTCTATTTTGACGGAGCTCCTGATTACGTCATGATCCGACCCGTCTAACCCCACCCTCACAAACACACCTTTTTTTTTCACACCATTCCAGGTGAGCCCGTCCAGAGTCGTTGACATGTCAATACGACACACGGGCCGTAGTTGGTGTTAAAGGCTAGTGTCGGGTCTTTAAGCTTTATGCTAATTTGATTTTGTACGTTCCAAATTTAACTTCTATAGACAGTGAAATGTATTCATGTGGGGCTTACGTCCAGGATAATTGAAGGCATTTTTTCTTTAAGCTAAAGTTGTTTGTTTTTTTTATTGTTTTTTCTTTTATTTTTAATTTCATCAAGTGACAGATTGTCACAAAATGGCCCTACAACATACAAGCCAACTGCGCTGAATCAATACGCTTGGTAACTCCCAGTACACAGGTTCTCGAAAATTTTTATATCAGGGCCACATTTATATAGAAGCAAAGTGAAACTTACCATAATGTTTTGGGAAGCAGCTATTTTATTAAACTATTGGAAAGGAAGATATTTTTAAAAATTATAATTTTCCTACCTAATGCAATTGGTGACATATTAAATGTTAGGAAAGAAATAGCAACTCAAACTTTAGGACACCAATTAAACAAGAAAACTTAAGATACCAATTAAACAAGAAAACTTAAGACACCAATTAAACAAGAAAACTTTAAGACACCAATTAAACAAGAAAACTATAAGACACCAATTAAACAAGAAAACTATAAGACACCAATTAAACAAGAAAACTTTAAGACACCAACTAAACAAAAAAAATTAAGACACCAATTAAACAAGAAAACTTAAGACACCAATAAAACAAGAAAACTTTAAGACACCAACTAAACAAGAAAACTTAAGACATCAATTAAACAAGAAAACTTAAGACACCAACTAAACAAGAAAACTTTAAGACACCAATAAAACAAGAAAACTTAAGACACCAACTAAACAAGAAAACTTAAGACACCAACTAAACAAGAAAACTTTAAGACACCAATTAAACAAGAAAACTTAAGACACCAATTAAACAAGAAAACTTAAGACACCAATTAAACAAGAAAACTTAAGACACCAATTAAACAAGAAAACTTTAGTACACCAATTAAACAAGAAAACTTTAGTACACCAATTAAACAAGAAAACTTAAGACACCAATTAAACAAGAAAACTTAAGACACCAATTAACCAACAAAATTTAAGACACCAACTAAACAAGAAACTTTACGACACCAATTAAACAAGAAAACTTAAGACACAAATTAAACAAGAAAACTTTAAGACACCAATTAAAGAAGAAAACTTAAGACACCAATTAAACAAGAAAACTATAAGACACCAATTAAACAAGAAAACTTTAAGACACCAATTAAACAAAAAAAATTAAGACACCAATTAAACAAGAAAACTTAAGACACCAATAAAACAAGAAAACTTTAAGACACCAACTAAACAAGAAAACTTAAGACATCAATTAAACAAGAAAACTTAAGACACCAACTAAACAAGAAAACTTTAAGACACCAATTAAACAAGACAGCTTAAGACACCAATGGGTGGTAGGTGGCCGAATGGTCTTAACTGAGTAAATCCCAAATTGGTGGCCCTGGAGTTCAATTCCAAAGCCTGGAGTTCAGTCAAGCGTCCCCGGGTGGAAGGGACCCGTAAGCCTTGGAAGGCAACCCATCTAAGAGCAAGCAAATTCTGAATTCAAACCAGGAGCCAAAATGATCAATTAAGTCATCGTGCGCCTTTAAATATGAAAAATAAACATCTTAAACAAGAAAAGTTTAAGACGCTCAAAAAATCACTGCTTCACTGAGTCTTTTGTTCCTGCCTCCACATAAATCCCGTCTCAAACGCATTTAAGGTCGCCTCCCGTGACGTGTGCTCTGCTACAGCGGTTCCCAACCTGCTCTACGCGTACCCATGGGAGCAAAGGTCGGACTGCGTTGTGAGTTTGCAAAAATTATATTGATAATCGCGGGGAAAAAACCGAACGATTTTTCTATGTCTTTGTGCACTGAGGAGACCTGGAATAATACATCCCTCCTTTAATAACGCAGACGAAGTCCAGTTTACCTTGACGACTTACCGTTGCCGAGAGAAAAAAACAACAACCTTTACTCCGTTTAATTTTCGATGTGAATAAAAGACGAAACCAGTACGAGGTCGTTCACCAGAAAGTCTGCGTATAGAGTAACTACCTCGCAAGTTGTTTTCACAGGACCGTCAAACGAAACTTGACTCTCTGGCAGACGTCTGTAATCCAGGTCGTGCAATCGATAGCAAGAACCACAGTGGAGTCAGCAGAGTCAGACTGGAGAGCCCACTGTAGGCTTGTATGGCTCGCTTACTCCCCACTCCCCCCCCCCAACCTCCCGCCCCCTAACCCACCCATAAATAAATAAATAATATTTAAAAGTTAGATGACCCACCCAATTGACCCCAGTCAATTCATTGCTTTTTATGCTCCGAATTTTTCACCGGCGTCTGTAACTTATATTTAACCGTAAACTTACAGCAGCGACCAACCTTAGCCTTGCACCACACGGTCGGTCGATGGCCTCATTTTTATATGTGTATAATGTTGTTTGAAATACGGTGTGTTTTCATTGAAGGCCTTTTTTCTACAAATTATGTTTAGCCCAGTTATTATTTAAAATAAAACCATTATAAGAAAAGTGATGATTTCTGTGTCATAAATGAATTGTCTCAGTGTCGTAAAGGAATGGTCTCAGTGTCGTAAAGGAATTGTCCGAGTGTCGTAAAGAAGTTGTTTCAGTGTCATAATGGAATGGTTTCAGTGTCGTAAAGGAATTGTCCCAGTGTCGTAAAGGAATCGTCTCAGTGTCGTAAAGGAATCGTCTCACTGTCGTAAAGGAATTGTCTCAGTGTCGTAAAGGAATTGTCTCAGTGTCGTAAAGGAATTGTCTCACTGTCGTAAAGGAATTGTTTCATTGTCATAATGGAATGGTCTCAGTGTCGTAAAGGAATCGTCTCACTGTCGTAAAGGAATTGTCTCAGTGTCGTAAAGGAATCGTCTCAGTGTCGTAAAGGAATCGTCTCAGTGTCGTAAAGGAATGGTCTCAGTGTCATAATGGAATGGTCTCAGTGTCATAAAGGAATGGTCTCAGTGTCGTAAAGGAATGGTCTCAGGGTCGTAAAGGAATGGTCTCAGTGTCGTAAAGGAATGGTCTCAGTGTCGTAAAGGAATGGTCTCAGTGTCGTAAAGGAATGGTCTCAGTGTCGTAAAGGAATGGTCTCAGTGTCGTAAAGGAATGGTCTCAGTGTCGTAAAGGAATGGTCTCAGTGTCGTAA